GAAGCTCGGCTGCAAATTCAGACACCTTAAGCTTCAGGGTGAGTAACAGGGACTCTGGTAGCAGGGACTCTGGTCACAACCTGATAGGTTGCTGTTCCATCTCTCCACAACCCAAGGAAACAGAACACAGATAACATTGACATAAGTAATCATGACACTGCAAAAATGGGTAAAAAAAAAAGCCAAAGGAAAATACAAACAAAGCTCGGCTGCAAATTCAGACACCTTAAGCTTCAGGGTGAGTAACAGGGACTCTGGTAGCAGGGACTCTGGTCACAACCTGATAGGTTGCTGTTCCATCTCTCCACAACCCAAGGAAACAGAACACAGATAACATTGACATAAGTAATCATGACACTGCAAAAATGGGTAAAAAAAAAAGCCAAAGGAAAATACAAACAAAAATGGCAGAACATCCCTCTAAGCTACTTGGGTAACTGAATGAAGCCATCCTCTGTGTTTCCCAGCAGTTTCTGGCTGCCACCTGTCCCCACAGAGCCACTGCAACTGGTAGACAGCCCTGGAAGGCCAGTGCAGACCTCGGCTGACACAGGTGCCCACTCAGGTCTGAGCATTTTCTTAAAGGATGGAGACTCCCCAGCCTTCCTGGCAACCTGTTCCAGTGTTTCACCACCATCACAGTTAAAACATTTAAGTGGATATTCCTGTAGTTCAGGTTTGTGCCCATTGCCTGGCACAGGGCACCACTGAGAGGAGTCTGGCTCTGTGTTCTCTACTCCTCACCCACCCCATCAGGTATTTGGACACTTGGATGAGTCTCTCCTTCCCCCCTGTCCCCAAGCTTTCTCCAGGCTGAACAGTGCCAGCACTGTCAGCCTCCCCTTGTGTGACAGATGCTCCAACTCCTTCATCATCTTTGTGGCCCTTCACTGCAGTCATTCCAGGATGTCGAAGTCTGTGTTGTACGGGTCAGCCCAGACATGGACATAGCACCTAGATGTGTCTCACCAGCACTGAGGGGAAAGATCACCTCCCTCCGCCTACTGGCAATGCGCTGCCTAGTTCACCCCAGGACACCGTTGGCTTGCTTTACTGTGAGGGCACTCTGCTGGCTCATGGTGAGGTTGGTGTCCACCAGGAACCCTAGGTCTTTCCTTGCCCAGTGGCTCTCCAGCCAGTCTGCACCCAGCCTGCAGTAGTGCATGAGGTTATTCCTACCCAGAGGGCAGGACCTTTGTGTGTCATTTTGGACCCCATCAGATTTTGTCCCACTTGTCAAGTTAGCAACTCTCCCTTTACTCCTCTTTGTAGACTGGAGAAGTT